GGTAAATTTGATTAACTTATTAAAGGTGAGTAATCGCTAACGAAGCGGCGCCTGCGCTGCTTGTCAAGGATAGTGCAGCGGTAAATACTCAGAGCGTACGTACAGCATATTCAAACCAGAAAGACCGTTGGTGGACGTGGTAAATATATTCATATCGTACAGCTGATTCAAACCAGAAAGACCGTTGGTTGGAAAGGACGTTTATTTTAAAGATGAGTGAACACTATTTAATATCCATTTAGAAACAAACATATATCAATTCAATTAGAAATCTACGAATAACTGAAACAATCACACATATTCAAAACCCAATCCGTCTGTCCTGGCGCCCTTGGTACATATGGAGGGAGGGAGGAAGGGAGGGAGGGAGGGAGGGAAGGGAGGAAGGAGGAAGGAGCGAACTAGTGCCAGACCTCGATCGAGCAGGTCTCGCAATCAGACCGTTCAGCGGTAATCATACAAAAACTACACAGCAAGCGACACCGGTACTTGCAAAGCTACATAAGAAGACATGCCACTGAGTATATAAAATCACTGAAGTTGATATAGTATCTGCTGATTGTAATCTCTCTTACTACTTAATCCAAGGACCTCTGACTTACAGGAATCTAAGGTGAGTCTACAAAACTGATCATTTCGCTAAGGTTCTGGCTTACCAACTGCAATATTTTCGCTCATTTAACTTGTTTCATAAAATCTTTTGACATATAATTAAAGAATAGCCAAGAAGTCAGGTAAAAATTTAAAGGTTAGTTTTTGTTCTGACTTCACCTAAAATGTACATTTTGTAAAAGATTATTTTTTAATATCAAAAACTTATGACTTGGGATACCTGTATGTAATATGAAATTTAAGGTGGCTCTATCATAAGGGGTATTGAGGCAATACCAAACAACAGGAAAACAGCATTATAAAGCTATACAGACCTGCAGATAGGCCAACCATACTAAAATTCATGATTTTAGAGTTAATGTTTCATAAAACTGATTAAGTGTGATGTAACCATAGAGACATACGTGAAATATAAATGTGGTTGTTTCATTAAACATATTAAAAACCCGAGTTTTCCACAGTGTGTTTTTTCTATAGAATTTTATGGTAGTGCAGTAAAGTGCGTTTGTAAGGCAAATTCAAAATGCAAATTTGCAAATGAAGATGTTTATGTGCATTGTTTGCGTGCATCCTTTCTACGCATAAATCGTGATGACGTCATTCCAATGTTTCACGCAAGCAAAATCTTATAAAAACGTGTTTCATCTGTTATAGCTCGATAACAAAGTCAGGCACCCCCTTTTTATTGAAATTACCCGGTATAATACCTAACTTAAGGGGAAAAAATTCAAAAAATCTGACAATGGTATCAAATGGAAATTACATATTTTGTGTATAATTGGAATAGAATACTACGTAACGCGAAGGCTTCAAGTCCACACTCATAGCACAATGACATTTTTTAGTTTTCTAATTTTTAACACAAATTTCAAGTTCTAACTAGTTACTTGGTTATTTTATAGTCTTCTGTGAAAAATGGGGACGGCCAATTTATTTTTTCAGTAAAATTTAACTTATTTGTAACAGGTTTCCATGTTGACATTGTTCATGTAATTTTACCATAAAAAGCATGAACTTAAGCTTCCACATATTCTGACAGCTTAACGAAGTCGGGGACCCCATTTTTAATTGCTTATTTTACTTCTAGTATGATGTTCTTTCATCATGCAAATCTTTAAAAAATCTGACGATGGGATCTTTTTCCCATAAACGTCATGGATGTCACAATATTATGAAAATGTAAACTTGTGACTTAAATGAGCATGCACAGTCCTTTTTACGATACTGTYCTTAGCAACCATTTTTAGTCTTGTTTCATTTCCCTGATAATGGCTGCTAAGGAGACTACAGTAAGCTTACACCTACCATGATGTTATAGTCACGTGTATGTGGATGTGACCCCTCCACGTCAGTTTTGACTATGACTCTAAACCTTCCTTCACACGTTTTTTCACATTTCAATTGAATAGTGAATTCAACACTTGCACTCTCACTGGGAAGACGGGTCTTTTGCTCTGGCACAATCTCTTCTCTGGTTAGGGTTTTCTGAAATACAAGAAACTATATTCCAATTAAACTGCCTTTGGCGAACTTGTGGATACTAATCCTATTGGATTAACCTTCATGTTTGTAGGAATTCTGACCGTAAATTAAATTTCGCGCAATGTAGTTCGTAAGCAAATGGCATAAGACATTATTGACAATCGTTTAAATATTGATTAGCTAATATCGTAGTCAGAGAGTGAGTAAGTGAAAACGAGATTAGCAATTTTAACTTTTGTCATACAATGTTTTTCTTTATAATACTTTAGCTCCAAGACCCTGATAGGTCCTTGAAGCCTGTAGGAATGCAGCTCAATTTGGAGGATCAACATAACAATAGGTTTCCTATTCTCAGGAAATTGAAATTCTCTTGTTTTGTCCTCCAAATTGAGCTGCTTTGACATCCCATGCAAGGCTTTTATTCATAGTTTGAAGTTGACCTATGAAAATCAGCAAATGATTTATGAGCAGTCCATAATAAGAAAGATTGTGGCTATCAAGCAACCCGGGGGGGAGGGGTACTCCCCTATATTCGCTATATGGGTACATGCCGACAAACAGGGTTTGGCTTTCAGTGATTCTACTCAGTGGAACAGGGTATATAAAATCTCGCTCGCTCTGGAACAGGGCATATGAAATCATGCTCTCTCCTCTCTGGAACAGGGTATCTATTTTCACAATACCAGAACAGGGTATGGTTTACAGCGATCTTGCTCTGGAACAGGGTATGAATTTCAGAGATTTTACTCTGGAACAGGGTCAGGGTTCAGAGGTCAACGGGTAAGAGTACCCCCCCCGGCTCAAGCAATCAGCTAGTCTTATTTGTTTTCCTTGAGAATCACATGCAATCATACAAACAGTACCTTTGTGTGAAAAAAGATAAAACAATTATTATCAACAGTATCCAACATTTTTACATCAATGCAAAGTTGATTATTGAGTTCCACGTCCCAGCTGTAGCGTTGTTCTTCTCCATAGGTGTCGTTAAGGATGTCTATGAAACCTTGGGGGTGATTATACTCGGAAAAATGGGCCAAAGACTCGGTCATCTATTTCAAAGTATTAGAAAAAAATGATACATGTTATTTCTCACATCATCTCTTTTATTAGTTTTTTATGATTATATTGTCATTAACAAACAGAACAGCTTTTTCCATGATCTAGCTGTTCCAGATATTGAGGATTTTCCATGGGAGTGGAGTCATTAAACACCCAATGGAATGTAATCCAAAGTAATTTCTTCTCCATACCTGAGGCATAAATTTCTTTATTTAGTTTCTGTAGTTGTAAGTTATTTTATGGAACTGGTCGCAATTGATTATGCATCATGAAAGGATATGTATCAAGATTGTAATTAATTTTTTCATGTAAACCCCTTTGATAAACTTGTAAGCTAAATGAGGTTATAAGATTAAGGTTGATATAAGAAGGAGTAAATTACCATATCAGCTGATTTGATTGGCATAAATTTTAGTATGTAACTGCCACCTCTCCTTGGTGTACCTGTCATGTCATACAATCTTATTCTACATCTTAGTTTCTCTGGTCCTCTTTCCTCTGGAATAAAGAGAAAAAACATATACCGAATTGAAATATGGYGACCATTTTGAATAACTATTGTTCTGCACCGACTAGAGACTGACTAGCCTCCTATACATGTGAAAATGCTTTTATGTTTCCATGTGAACACGGGGCTAGTCAGTCGCTTGTCAGCACAGAACAATAGTTATTCAAATTGGTCACCATATTTCGATTCGGTGTATGAGAAGCAGAAATCAATATTATAACTGAACATTCCACATGCTTATCACAAGAAACATCTCACTAATTTACTGCCTATTTACTGGGTTGCCTAATTTTCTGCTGTATCAGAAAATGGCAAAATTGTACAATAGTACCAAAGGGTCTTCACATCATTACACACGAGTCCTATATGCTCATGTATTCTATGTATAGTCTGATCTATTATGCATGTGATAGCTGCCAATCAAATGTTACTAAATTATCGGAGTGATTGATTGGAGGTGGGGCTGCAAATCGTGTGTCGTAAATTAATGTCTACACAGGTTCTTTTTATGTTAGTTGCTGAAATTCAAGCATTTGAGCAGGATTAGGAAGTAATCGAGTTGTAATAAACAAGAAAGTTCAAGATGCTGTRAAAAGTTTTTTTTAATTATTCCTCTACTCAAATTGTAATTTGCTACTCAAAGCAGTATTCTATGCTGAAAGAGTATAGAATTATTAGGTCGAACTTAAACTAAGAAAATGCAGCTTCAAATCTTTCAGTGAGTTGGTAGACTTTCATCGAGTTTTAAGTCATCTTATTGGGTTTGAAATCGTTCCAGTTTTATTTTGGCGAATCTCACATGCTCTGGTTCAATTCAATGTTTTAAAAAGAACCAAAGACCTCAAATACTGCTATCAATAAAGATGAAAAACATACATGTAACATGCTTACAGTATAATTGAATGCTATTTATTCAACATTATTTTGGTCATTCGGATCATGTTCAAACGTGAGTGTTTCTGAAGAAGTTCTTAATATTTAAATAGTTGTTCTATGTAAACAAAACCAAACATGGTGAATCTCAAACTCGTCATGAAGGATTTTGCTTGAAGAAAATATTTGGTTAGTAAAGCAAACAGCTGAGTTCACCGAGTACAATAAGGACAAGGAGAATAACAATTCTGAAGTAATCTTGAATAAGGATTGGGCTTATTTTACCATTTAAATGAATCCTCCTTTAATTAGTAGATAGAGCCAAAAGAGAACATTCTATAATGTCATTTATTGCGACAAGCTGATGTTTATTACAGCCAGCTGGCTTTTATACACAATGATTTCTTCAGACAATTATATGATAGAAAAAGAACTTAATTTATAGCAAATTTATTTACTGAAGAACAAAAAGCATGTTTGAAGGAACCAGTTGAAGAAAAAATGGCCTACCTTATGAGAAAAATGAAGCATACCAGAGTGATTCCACTGGGCTTGGATCATATAAAACTCAGTCAAAAACCCAAAACTTTGCTGACCCACAGTTTCCAGGCAACCCAGTTTATGAGCCTAATGTTACGATTTTGATCTCATATTTTTGTTTTTTAACTTTRAAAGGTGCTGAATTGAGTAACCAGTACAATTAGTTTACAAGCAATATTTTTACAATAACTTACAACTTATTCGTGCTCTAATTGGTTATTTTTTATCATCAATAGGAGCCGGACACTGACAGATATACCTAGCTGACGTCAACGAGCACACACACTGTTTTGAGCACTAAAAACGAGAAGTTTTTATCATTTGTTACTGTAAAAAACAAATTTACATCAGTTTTTTATGTGTCTGTCTTTCTTATTGATGATAAATTTCATCATCACATTGTCAAAGTACTGAGCAGAAGTATGCTTATCCACACTACTTTGACAATGTGATGATGCAATTTATTGTCAATAAGAGGACAGACACATAAAAGTCTGCTTTTTCACTCTGTAATAGGGATGTCACACTCGAACTTATTTATTGGGTTTCACTTGACATAATTTCCTGCCTATGTGTAGAATTTTCATCAGCTGAATAACAAGGTTTGAATAGAATTCTTTTTGGCTGACAGCAAATGGGGGTCAGTGTTTGATCATCATTTGAAGCAGATAATGAGATTCAAAGATTGAAACCCAGCAATAGACGCCCCTACAGCACATCAGAATGCAGCTCAATTTGGAGGACATATAGGATTCAAATTCTCAGGAGATTGAAATTCTTTTCTTTTGTCCTCCAAATTGAGGCAGTGCTTTGACGTCACACACAAAGGGTCTGTAGCCAGCATCCCCCCATGTAGGGGGGAGGGGTGTGAAGTGGGCTACTTACGAATGGGACTTAGGGATTTGACAGTTTCTTGTTCTGGATAACGCAGTTTGGCAGATTGGTGTGGTTGGGGCTTTGACAAGGACATGTTCACGACAGCAATTCAAATACCTGGAAATATGAGACAATACTATTATACATTTTACAAAGTATCTCAATTCTGATTGGTTGAAAGCCCTCAGCCATCATTTGGATCAACCAAATGATTAAATGYCCCACCGTTCAGACTCCACTAATTGCCTCAAATACCTGCCCCTCCAGTCTGATGAATCTCAAATTTGATCTAAAAAGTACTAAACTGAGCCCGTAAACCTGAAGTTTTTTTATTCATGGTTATCATAATAAATGAAAAATTTTWAATTTTCCCAATATCATAAATTACAAATCTTAAACAACTTAGGCATTTTCGTTTTTTAAAATTCAAAGCATGAACATAAGGAAAAACCAGGTGAGAAATTTTGCAATCATAGGTTTGAGGTACCTTTGGAATTGACTAATGCATGATATCCTTGCTCAACCTCATCCAATCATAGCTTATTATTAATACTTTTTATTGCTTATTATCAATTTTTATCATGCTTTTCATTCAGGAACGACGGTATCTTGGCTTAGCTTAACCGGCAATGACATATTATTATCCCCAATCTAACGAGTTTAAAGGCACAGATGACATTCTGAAAGTTTTTTTTATCAAGTGTTGATAAAACAATCTAAGAATCTGAAACTTTTATTGCATCTGGTACGAAATTAGCTTACAGGGTGACTACCAATAAATTGATAAAAATAATTCACCCAGATTTAGAAAGTTAATGAGGATAAATTGAGATTAATGTTCAAAAATGAAAATGTATCGATGGCCTTAGTACTTACCGTAGTACCGTCTGTATTAAATCTGGAATGTGCTGTTCAGCGTTTTTCTATTTTCTTGCTTTTTTGCTTTTTTCTTCTTCTTATAGCTTAGTAAAATTGTGAGAGAATCACTGTCGAAGGCTTAGGAATCCCTACATGGTTGTTATTTTTTTCTAGCTCTTTAGAATATGGAGAAGTTGTTTGCTGTTTTGATCCCCGAATATTCTATTTTCTATTTTTATACTATTAGCTATATATAGGTCGACGCATGCGCAAGTACGTCGGGGAATCGGGCGGGGAATCCCCAGACACAAGATGAGTAAGCTTTGGCCATTTTCTCAGAAATCTATTTACGCAGCACATTCTTTAGTCGCGATCTTCGTCGGAAAAGTCGTCCTGAAATCTCCGAAAAGCTTCACAAACATACTACAGCGTAAATTTCACGCTGAATTTTTGGATTTTATCGAACGTTTTTTCGAGCGCGAGGCAAGAATCTTCGAAATTTTGGAATTTTCAAGCAAAGCGAATTGACGTCGAGAAGGAAGCTCTTTTAGAAGGTCTTGTACAAGAAAATGAGCGTCAGAAGAACAGTGTTTGTAGCATTATTATTAAGAGTGAGTAAAATGTTAGTCAGAATATTTCGAGATATAAGCACACTGAAGTGAGCTTACTATTAAAGATGTGGTCTCGTAAGGATCATAAGTAAGACTGCACGCTTGGAATATAAAATGTTTTATTACATCCAAAAAGAGTAATAAGCAGTTCTGCTGTTATTTCAAAATATAAAAATTTTGAAATAAACATGCGGTACTGACTTTTTTAAACCAATTCTTCTATTTTTAAGGTACTGTCAGAAGTTGTTGCTGGAAAAATTCGATGCAAGTATGATGAATTCGTTGTTGAAGATGTTGTTAGAAAGATCTCGTGTGTTCCCTGCAAAAACTGTTCTGTAGGAGAGGGCCTGTCACCCCAGTGTGGTTCATTTATTCCCTACGGTACCCATATTGAGTGCAAACCTTGTGTTTCGGGGGTGAGTTATTCAAGCACATACAGCATAGAGTCATGCCAACCATGTGGTATCTGTGTTGATCACCAAAAGGTGCTTCAAAAATGCAACAGGACTAGTAATTCCATATGTGCTGAGAACTGTGATGTAGGATTCTACTTGAGTTCGGTAGTTGGAGATTGTCAAGAATGTTCTTGGTGTTGTCCTGACTCAGATCCTTCTGAACATGAAGCCGAGTGCAAGAAAGATGGTGTGCCTATCTATAAACGTTGTTCAGTTGACGAATCCATACGTTGTAGCCCAAGGTGTACTGATCGACAATATATCATTGTAGCCAACAATCTGAATCAGTCTTGCTATGATTGCCCTTATTGTGGAGTTGGCCAAGGTCTTTATCCCAAATGTCAATCTGTTTTGTCCAGTACAAAGGATTCAAAATGTCAGCAGTGTATTCCTGGAAAGACTTATTCCGACACCATAGATTCTTCTTCTTGTAAGCCCTGCAAAGTCTGTGGAGTTGGAAAAAAGATCGAAAGAAGTTGTAACACAACACATGATACCCTCTGTGGGGTTTGTGATCGTGGGTTTTACAATGAAAGCATTGAAGGCAACAAGGAGGTGAACTGCCAACACTGTTCGTACTGTTGTGGTGATGATGAGGATGTTATTATTCCTGAGTGCAAGGCACAAGGACTGCCTAAAAACAGGCAGTGCGCATATACCAAGAGGGCACTAACTAAATGTGTTCCGGCACATAAAAGTCTGTATAAGATTGTTGCGATTGTATTGGCATTGATAATAATTCTGATTGGTGCCATAATTGGGGTATACGCATATAAAGTGAAGTGCTTAGGGAGCAAGTATGGGAAATTAGTCAGCGATGAGAGTCAAATGGACTCAGCACAAGGTGCGTACAAATGACATCATGTTAATACTTGAAATGTTTGTGTCTGACTTTCTTACAGATGAAAAATAAATAAATATATAGAACTCTAGTGCCCACTAACACCAAGATTTAAATGTGCTTGCCCAAATACCTACAGCACACTGAAGAAGATCTGTGAAACATCTGTAAAAAGGTTATCGAACATTCTTAGTCAGAGACAAACATTTCAAGTATTATTATCAATCCTGACTTTAATAATATTATATTATTTTTAGTATAACAGTTCATGTTGTTTCATTTCTTTTTTCTTCTTTGTGTTAAAAATATATTGGAAGGCCATCTTATATTTTATCCTTTGTAGATACAGTAATTGCTACCCTCTTAAAAACCACAGAAAGAACAAAAGAGCATATTGACCACATCCTTTCCACGTACTGTTTGTGTTCACCAGACTCAAAAAAGACACGAAACAAAAAAATCTAAAAATCTACAAAGCTTTTCGCTGTTGTATCATAGCATGGGACAATCACAACAGAGCTAGGCTCCAAACTCATTGAAAGCACAGAGATCGAATTAGAATTTAGGAGTTGATTTTTAAGGAGGGAGGAAAACTGGAGAACCCAGAGAAAAACCCTCGAAGCACAGGAGAGAACCAACAAACAACTCTACTCACATACAACATCGAGATCGGCAGGACTCGAACTCAGGCTGCATTGGTGAGAGGCGGCGCATTAGCAGCGCACGCCACCGGTGCTTCCCTAAAAACAACAAACTTGTTCGYGTGCTTCCCTAAAAACAACAAACTTGTTCGCATGCTGCAATGATTTCAGGCGGTAATGTATACAAGGTTATAAGTCTATTAACATGTGTTATAAACTTCTTTTCAGTTGTCGTGCTAGACAAAGAAGCCCCAAGCCCAGAAAGCACACCAAACAACATAGAGTTCCGGCATTCAGGAATCATTGTCCAATGTCATGATGTTGGAACTGGAGAAATCTTACTGAGGGATTTGACTGTGAAGATCTGTTGGAATGAACATAAACACCTGCCAAAGAGAAAAGAAATTTATCTCAGCCCATTGATACAGTTTCATTCTCCTGAGTGTGAGATTGAAACAGCCATAACATTAGATATCCCTCACAGTGCCTACCTACAAGAAGAAAATAACACTTGGAAGATTAAAATATTGAAACTAGCTTTACCCATTAAACCTGAAACTGAAATAGAGTTAACAGAACTGAGTGGTGACCCAGAAATCAAGGTCCACCCTTGCAGTGTCACATTCACAGTAAAAGAACTAGCAGCATACGTAGTTGTTGGAGATCCAGGGGATCCACAGCGTGCAAAAAAAAGAATGCAGTGTGCTGTGTTTGGAGCAGTGCCAAAAACTGGCAAGACATATTCTACAATGATATACCTTTTGGATGATGGAGAATCGTCTCTTAAGGTAAACTATCATTAAAGAAGGATTGATGATATTACAAATTTTCCTACCTAATTACCTACCTTCTTCTACCTTAGTAACTATATACTTAACTAATCCTTTCTTTTTTTATTTCCAAGCTGCTATTTTCTCTCGATCTTAATCTTATTTCACAAAGAAAGAGTATAACTGATGCTTTTATGTTTTAGAAATTACAACAAGATGAAAAGAACGAAGGCCGCCATCTTCTTAAGAAGTTGTTCTGTTCATTGTACCCAGATGTGGATGCAGAGAGTGTGATTGATGTGGCCATTAAAAACGTAATGGAAGGCTGGCAGCAGGAAGACCTTTCTAAGAAGGTGGGTTTAAATAATATTCTTCTGAACATGATACCTGACCCATAAGAAGGGTTGGAATTTCCAAGGGTTGGGCAGGGTCTGAGGAGAGTATGTATTTTGTAGTCCCAGAAAATATCCATACCAACCCCATGGAGAGAGAATGGAATTCCGAAGGGGTGGGGAGGGTCTGAAAAGAATAATTTCAAAAAATATCCATTCTTGGTTTGCAACTACACGACTTAAAATCCCTCGAGATATGAATAACGATGAAACAGCCGCCATGTTGGTTGATCTAACAAGAGAATCTAATGAGGAGTGCTTTGTTATTGTCAACCAACATGGCGGCTATGATGTAAGCCCCATCGAGGGGGATTGTAATTTCCTAGGGAAGGAGAGGGTCTTAGAAGGCTATTTGTGTAGTTCAAGGATTAAATACCTTTGATTCTGCCCATGGTGAGTATTGGATTTTTTAAGACATTGGGAGATCTGAGGGAGGTATATATATGTTGTGTAATATTTCTATGTCTCCAATGAAGATATAGGAAGGTCTGAGGAAGGTCTGAGGGGGGTATAGGTGGGTGTACAATGATAAAATTTGTTTTGGTTGATTGTTATTTAAATTGCCAACCAGAAATCTATCGGACAGTCCAATAAAGTAAAGTGACAAAAACTTAATGGTTAAAATAGTTGGCACATTAACTTCACCATGGCAATGTTTATAAACATTACCTCCACCTATATCTTATTCCAATCAGATTTACTGTTCAATAAAACGTTTTCTTGCCATAAGTTTTGTTACCTTATGTTTTTCAAAATAATTGCTGATATATATATATTTTTTAAAGTGCACCAAACCCCAGATACAATACTTTCAGTATTGATTCTACATAAAGTGAATAGTTGAATGGTGAAATATTTAGATTCATTTGAATGTTGTGTCTTTAAGTTATGAAGGTTTATACTTCCAATATGTTAATGACTGTGACGTCACCCCAGGCTTCATTGAATATACAAATTTTTAAAAAGAATCATTATTATGCTCAAGGTTTCTACAATGTTTATTGTGAATCTGATGTCTCATAATGACTAGCGTTTAGTATGTAATATATACAATATGAGTGGCCATGTTGTATCAGATATACAACCATGAGCTAAAGGCGATATATATACATTCAGGTTCTACTATAATTTTAAAGATAAAATTGAATTAATTGGCTAAGAAAATTGGAGTTAAGTTTATGCAAATCAGGACGATTTTGTATCAGATATAACCTCATCCACGGACAATGATTTCTATTGTGTTTTCCTCATTATTTATTCATGAGTTTTATAAGTAATATATACAGTATGAGTGGCCGTGTTGTATCAGATATGCAACCATGAGGCGTAGCCGAGTGATTGTATATCTGATACAACACGGACACTCATACTGTATATGACTTATCAAACATCTAGGTTAGTTCCTTTGTGTTTCACTAAAATTTTCAAAATTAAAGTGAATTTGGCCAAGAAAATCCAACTTAAAGTTTATGCAAATGAACACAGTTTTGTATCAGATTTACAACACTCTTCACAGTCGTGATTTCTGTTGTGTTTTCCTCATGAATTATTCATGAGTTTGATAATAAAAATTAAAACAAATACACTCAAAAGCCTGGGGTGATGTCACAGTCAGCAACGTAATGGAAGTATAAACCTTCATAACTTAAAGATGCAACATTCAAATGAAGAAGTATTTCACCATTCAACTATTCACTTTATGTAGAATTAATACTGAAAGTATTGTATCAGGGGTTAGGTGCACTTTAATGAAATATCTATACTTCCCCTCAGTGGGAATTGTACAGACATGATAACAAGGTCTCTAGGAGTAAATRAGAATGAAGAAAATTTATTTTATGCTGAACACCATGCCTTTTGTTTTATCTTTTCCCTTAGGTCATTAGGTGTTCTGAATGGTTAGATTCCTACCAAGCAATCCCTAACATTAAAGCCAGCTTCAAGCACATTGATCCTCAAATCAGAGATTTTCGCTGCACTTTTAAATTGACATTCAAAGATCATGTTGTGGAGATTCCAATTTTCCATTTTTCTGAGCCAGAGGTAGGAATTTTATCGCGACTCCACCCAATACCAAATATATTTTATTTCAACGCCGTCAATATTTCATGGTATTGTCGTCTCAAAATCGTAATTAGTTTTGTATTGCCATTATAAAGAATTTAACACGCACAAAAAAAAAGGGAAAAAACAACCAAATTTTTTTTAGATTAAAAAGCGAAATTCTCATTACGAGTGCACTAAGGATCAAACTATGGACCTCTTGCTTAGCAGGCAGGACACAAATCAAACAAGCCACACTTGCTCCTTAAAACAAGTGTGTGAGGTCACTGAGGATCAAACTTAATGGACCTCTGGCTTAGCAGGCAGCACACAACCAACCAAGCCACACACTTGCTCCTTAAAATAAGTGTGTGAGGTCACTACGGATCAAACTTAATGGACCTCTGGCTTAGCAGGCAGCACACAAATCAACCAAGCCACACTTGCTCCTTAAAACAAGTGTGTGAGGTCACTRAGGATCAAACTATGGACCTCTTGCTTAGCAGGCAGCACACTAACCATGCAACAAAGCCATGTAGCCAATAATATTTTTAATTGTATCGACAGCACATTCCAATTGGAATTCAGCCAACTGACCATCATGCACCACCAGATGACCTCCACATCAGCATCAATGAAAGTAAGTAAGTCTTGATACTTTTATAAAATGGAGATGGGGGTGCTAGGGATTTGCTGTTGAGATACAAATACCCTGACCCTTTATCTAAAGCAAGAATATCTTGAAAAACATACCTCGTTTAGATCGAGACACAACATTGTAAATCATAACCATAATAAGGCCTAAGAGAAATTTTATACCCCGGTATGATGTAGGCACAGTTGGAAAAGTTTTTGCAGTCCCTAAAAGTCGAGGCTGGAGTTTTCATGCATGATAAAGTATATTTTTATTGTGTGCAGCAACTCCTGAACCTCGGCTTGACCCTAATATATGGGAGTGCCCCTTGGAAAGAAGTGCCTTAATGCTTAAGCACTCAGAACTGCAGGTTGATTTGAAGTTGACTTTGCAGCCTGAGAAGAGCATGAATGAGTGTTCAATAAGTGTGCATTACCTAGGAGGGGAGGGGGGGGAGGGGAGGGCCAGCATATTGACATTGCAGATTTGTGCTCAAAGTTTTACTATTAGTTATACTATTAATGACCTTGACTTGGTCCATTGGACATATCTCCCAGTATAATAATGACCAGCCATCCTTAAGGTAGAATATTATGCTTTTTATATCTTTTAGGCCGAACTCCTATGCACTCTTATCAATATCAAAGTCTATCTTCTGTACCCAATGAAGTGCTCACAAACATCTCCCAGTCGGTTCATCAAGCCATTGGTGAAGATCATTCCCGTATTGTGTCAGTTGCCACCAAGATTTTTACAGCCGATGAAGTCGACTCCATTAGTAAGAGTGATCAGCCAATTAACAGTCTTATTGACTTGGCAAGGAATAAATCAGTTACAGTAGCCGATGTACACCATGCTCTGAAGGAAGAGGGATTGGAATCTGGTATGCTTCTGCCATTCTTACATGAAGAAAACTCAACTCAGCTGGTTTAGTTACCTAGATAAGAGGAAAACTGGTAGACATTTTCCTTTAAACAACTTTGTAGTAAATTTCATTGGAAATTTAAGTTTGCATTGTGTTTGCATAAAAACCAACTTGTGGCTGACTTGCAATATAGTGATGCATGCATTGATTTTTGCCTTGTTATTTAATTGCGATTTAACTGAAGTACGATATTCATTTTCTTTTACCAAAGCGAGCAACAAAAGCATCCCTTACTCGAGGAATGCTTTAAAAATTTCACATTATACTATTATTAGTAATAAGTAATTTGTATTAGTATCTTTGCATGAATCATTAATTAATCTTCATTGATGTAATTCCTAATCATCATTTTGATCATTAAGGTACTAACAGGGGTATACAGGGGGGTCCGCAGCACGAATGACGGAAAATGGAAATGAGAAATCACAACACATGTACACGACAAGAATGAGTTCCCGAATAGCGAACAATTATTTCCGATCGGCTTTTCATGCAGCACTTTACGAGAACGACAACAGGGCTTTTAAAAAATCTTGCCACAACTTATTCCCAGGATTTATTCTCTGCCTTACCTTCAGCAATTAGATATATACACTTATTTCAATAAAGTTTGTCGCCTGAAAAGCTACAAAGCTGAGACCAACRAGGATTATGGGCAGTTACATTTTACATATTTCAACCGCTTTAATAACATATTCTCATCGCTTTAATAACTGTTGATGGATTTTAGATCTTTTACCAGTTACAGTCTCACCTCTTCTGAGCATCCTCAAGCTGCAAATTGTATCAAAAGCTTGACTTGTTTGATATTAAAAGTTTCCCATGATCCTCGGTGATCTCAGCTTTCTAGGTTATTTAGTGACTAACTTTATTGAAATAAGTGTATACGAACAGAAACTCCTGCTATGAAAGAGATAAACAAAGAAAGATTTCTGTAGAATTGATTATTGATTTGGACCTGAAAGTCGTTTTTCGTTCGAATTACGTCACACTTAATAGCTCTATCGGTTTATTTGCATCTGCATTACTACAATATTTTAAGGATAAAGTAAGCAAACTAATCATTAGAAATAGGTGACAGCTAGTTATAATAACCAAAATGGGTTAGAGTGAAGGCATTTTACCCGTGAAATAAAAATYATTAGTCAACGTGTAATAGTCAAATAGACACAAAAGAAAACAATGGAATTAGGGTCTACTAAAGTGTGTTAGTCTAATATCTATTTCACGGGTTTAATGACTTCACTCTAACCAGGATAATTAGCTTTTTAGAGTAAATATATAATTGTTATTTTGAAGACATTASTTCAAAATTATTACGTTACTATTGCCATAAGCGCGGATCACAGCTACATGCACAGTTTTGAAATACGTGTGTTATAGAAGAGGGTCATATTTTGTATCTGAGGGTGTTTATGGGGGTGGGGAGTGAGGTTAATCTTAGTGCTACTCTGTACCCTTGCCTTCCCTCCCCTCATTAAGTTGTTATCAGCCCTGGAGGGACCCTGAGGAGACTGGAGACCTGATAGGCACTCGATCTGTACAACCGCTATAAACCAGCTAGGGTATCAGTCTCCAAGCTTCTCACAAGGTTCTAAGAATTGTGTAACATCAGGCAATATTGTCCTTTAAATAACAAAAACCATCAAATAATGTAATCACAGAAGCTGAAACTATTAAAAGAGTTAATGTACAAGTAGCTTGTAACGGAAATTTAGGCCTAAGGCAAACGTCGAGCTTTCCATGCACCGAACTCATTAAAAACAATGGATATCAGGTGATAATGAGGCGCCATTCTTTGATGTAATTAAGTTCGGTGCATGAAAAGTTCGACGTTTGCCCTAGGCCTTAGTCTCTGCTGCTGTCTCGTAGTTTTTGATAGATATGTCAGTATTTTTCTGTTGTTAGTGTTTCTTTTCTTATTAGTATTTAGTGTTCGTAAAACGTTTATTTTGGAGGAACTAATTATATGGGACTCTTGTCCAGTTGTTCTTTCCCTCAACTAGTGTTTTTCTGTATTCAATTTTGAATAATAAGTACTGGTTGTAAAGCTGATAAATAAAAAATAAAAAATGACAGAAGCCTGAGAACTATGGGAAAGTCAAGACACTTTATGGTTACATAAAAATGTGGAAAAGTATATTTACATCATTGGATCACGCTAGACTACTCTGGAAGAGAGTACCTGATGTAACCCTGTTGTTTGAATAAGATAAATTTTGCAGGTGTTTTATTCCGTGAAATTGTAGGTTGGTGTGAACCTTTTACACGTTGCTGATTAAATAGAATTAAATTAAGTTGTTGGAAAACCTCAACAACTGAACTTGCAAGAAAATCAAGAAGGCTCCATGGTTATCTTTGTGCGTGTAAAAAAATTAATTAGCGCAAGACCGAAAAAAGGGGCTTTTTTGTGTCATTTAGCATATTAGTTGCTTCAGGGTATGCTATGTCGTTTCGATTTTTAGCTCGATATGCCCCGAAAAAGCGCTAAATGCAAATTAGACGGCATCATCAGTCCCCATTATAATATTACCGATTTCGACCACAAAGTTCTTTATTCTTTATTCTATGCCAAGGCGAGTGTAGAAAAAATCTAGCCGAAGGAAGCTCTGGGACGGGAGCTACAGCCGATCAAACGTTGCTAGGTGAGAGCCAAAAAACTTAAGGGGTTTGTTCGCGCGCATTCAGCTGCGCATATGACTTTCATATATTTAAAGAAATGCTAGAGTACACTCAGTCAGTTTTTTAAAATAACATTTAATATCGCACCGAAAAACGACATTTTCTGCTTCATCTCGACAAGCGAGAACGACAAAGAGCGACAGTTCTGTTAGAGTTGTAATTTGTTTTCCCCTTAAGATGAAAAGCACGATTTCATTCCAATATTTCATCACTAGAGTGTTCCTCAACTGCTAAGCAACAGTTTTAGAAGCTTTATTCAAAATTGTATAGAAATTTAAATTTTTCTGAAAGCACATTTTCAAACCATAAAAAATTTCAAGAAGAGTTTTTTCACCAGGTTTACCGGTTTTCCTTCCTTTGTATAAATTGACGTGTGTTGCGAGTTGTAATCATAGAATTGTGAGTGAAGTGGTAGTATGTGAAAGCGGGTCAAACTGAACTTACTACGATTCATAAAAATGAATGTATCTGAATGTATACAATGATTCTACGATGATAAAAAAATAAATTGTCAGTGTTCATTTTTTCCTTCCTTCCTCTCTCCCTCCCTCCCTCCCTCCCTTCCTCCCTCCC